AGAGAGGAAAAAAAAAAGAGCTTATTAGAACCACTCATTTGCTGAGAGTAACAGGGATCTGGGATTTTATTCTACAGGTGTACCAAAAAGCATTGTTTGAGAGAGCCACTTGGAACTCAGTAGTCATTTGTGATTAGTACCCAAGGACAGTCTACAAAATCCATTTGACTCCAAGTGGATCTGAAGCATTCTGGGAACTATGGCACAAGTTTGGAGGATATGCAGTCTGTGTTAACTGGAAATCACAGTGCTGTTTCAACATCATCTGCCTCAGAGTAATGAGGCCCTTTCTAATTTGGCCAGGCAGCAGGGAACATCTCACCCCATAAACTGCCTGTGTATGCTTGGACACTGCAAACCAAGGCTGCCTGACTATGCTGGGGAACAGAACAGTCTACCAGGTGGAAAACCAGGAGAACTTCCCTTAAAGTTCTTCCCTAATTCTCTTTTCAATTTTCCTACATTCCCATGAGTTTCAAGGGCCTCTAAAAGATGCTCTGAATGGTGGCTGTTCTCTTCCTCCTACAGTGTGAAGCCTGATGGCAGATGCATACCAATAGATAAGGAAATTCCTTTTCACTGCTGCCTCTGCCCATCTCCTGTGGCTGCCAGAAATCCCTAGAGGAGGGTTTAAGGTTGCAACACAAAGAGCAACAGGAGTGGACAGGACACCCTTATAGCATTGGTGGGGGAAAGGAGATGTGTGCACAATTGCTGGCTTCTCTAGTTAGGTGGTCTTGGATTTTGAGTCCCGCATGTAAAGGGATGCACTTGTCCTCCAAACTGCAGACCAGCCACAACTTCCTTCATGACATCTCCCCTGAGAGTCTTCCTGGCTGAAATTAACAATGCTTCCTTGGAACGTGGTGGCAGGTTCTCACTTCTCCTCTCTGTTCCTGCTATAGTTATTTGTGGATGTCTTCTCTTCTGCACTAGAATACAAGCACCCTGTTACAGTCTGAATATGAAGTATACCCCCAAACTCCTCTTAATGCAGGAATATTCAGAAGTGAAAATGTTAGATGAGGAGGGCTATAACCTAACCACTACATCCTAGTCTGAATGGACTGACTTGGTGGTAACTGTAGGCAGGTCTGCTGAGGCTGGAGCAGGTGGGTCACTGGGGACATGCCCTGAAGGGTATATCTTCTCTGAAGCCCCCTCCCCACTTCTTTCTCTCTGCTTCCTGACCCTGTTATGAACTGAGCAGCCTTCCTCCACTGGGCCCTTCCTCCTGAAGTGCAGCCACACCTTAGGCCAGAGCCATGAAGTTGGCCATGTGGGGACTGAGATCTCTGAAATCAGAAGCCCCAAATAAACTTGCCCTTCCCTAAGTTGCTCTTGTGGGGTATTTTGGTCACAGTGATGCAAAAGCTAGCCGAACACTCCCGTAAACACCATCCACTGGAATCTTGTTAAAGACAAGGGGAACCAGCCCTTTCCCCCTGGATGCAGAACCGAAGCAGATCAGGCACTCCGCCACCACCTAAGAGACTCCCAACCATACCTGTAATAATTCAACTTCTCCAGGGACCCTCCCATCGCCATAATTTGGTTCCTTGTCAGCAGGATTTCTGCAGAGAGCCTTGTGGTTTGAAGCTTTTCGTTTCTTGGAAATGCCAAGTTTGCATACAAAAGGTGTGACAGAGTCTATCTCAAGCTTGTTGATGTACAAAAGGTACTATCTCTGTTTTCTTGGTAAAAACTTGTAAAACCTCTTTCTAGCCTAAGAATGTGGGACAAAGAGTAACTGTTAAGTTCCCACCTGCTGGGTATAAAGTTCAAAGCATTTCCATACTCTAAGTCCAGAGATTTTTAGGCTTTAGCACCTCTGAACCACTATAGTTTAAATAAACCTGCTTCCTAAAAATTCCTCCAGTGCCCAGCCTGAGAAAAACTGGTTGAAGCAATTGGTCCAGTGTACCAAGGATGTGCTTTGGAGGTAACAGCTTTCACTCATCATTTTCATTCACATATTTAACAAGCATGTACAGGTGTCTGCTAGACACAGTGTATTAGACACAGTGTCTATTGTATATTAGACACTGAGTTCTATTCACTTTACTCCTTTCTTGGGAAGGGGTAAAGTGAATAGAAGTTGGACAATGCCTTCTCCCTCCATAATTCATGACCTGATAATGAAAGCTGTCACTTCCTTTGACCCTCAAAATCAAATCAAAGGTAGAATTTGAAGTCAGGACAGGTACAGTCGCTCAAAAGGAGGTAGTGCTGTGACTAGACTCTGTGGAAAGAATGTCAAATTCCTATTCTAGGCCACTTGACTTTGGAAGTTCAAACATACATGAAAATATAATAGTCCTATGCAAACATCTCTAGAGATATGTGGGGACAGGATCTGTGGGGTGTCACTTTTCCCCATCAATGGAGATTGGGGGAGAAACAATAGAAAGTACATGGAAGACCAGGCAACATGCTTTATCTTAGAGTGGACATGAACCCAGAGCCCAGAGCCAGCCTGCAAAAGTCTGAATCCCAGCTTGGTCATTTACTTGCTGTGTGACCTTGCATAGGTGGGTAACATTTCTGAGTCTGTTTTCTTGTGTGTGAAATGGGGATAATAATAGTACCTTGTGGTGAGGATTAAGAATTATTGAAGGTTAAAGGGCTCAGAACAGTGAGTTGTTTCCATTATTCCATCGTCTGGAATGAGAACAGGTTAGGACTGGGAATGGACAATGTCACAAGCAAACTCTCAGCCACTGTAACCAACAGTTCACGGAGAATGTTCGTGCATTACTTTGGGACTAAATGAATTTCCAGATCCCTCCCATCCCAACAGAGAGCCTCTCACATACTTGAGTATAATATTTGTGTAATATTCACAGCTAAACAAGACAGAGATCCTCATCCTGGATGCTCTACTTTGGGGCAAGACATGGATAGACACGGTTATCCTAAGGCCACTTCAAGATGGATGCTTGTCTTCTGCCCTGTGCCAACTTTGCTATAATGGGGTGAGTACTCCTCTGCTTGATGTTAGGTCTAGACTTCTAACCATCTGAGCTTCCAAAACGTTTGGAAGCTTCCAACAACTGTGATAGTTCCTGGTCCACAAACTATCTCCCTGCTAATCTTAGAAAACAATTCTTAGAAAATGCAGACCTGATTATGTCATGTCTCTGCTTAACTATGTCTGGTGAGGACATACAGATGAAAACAAAAGTGATGTGGCATTTTCCAACCACCAGGATTCTGATTAAAATTGAAATCTGGTGATATCTAGTACTTTGGGAAGGCCTGGGGAAAGGAAGATTCTCACACATTGCGGGTGAGAGGTTGATCAGATGTCTCTGGGTAGTGTGGACTAACAACTCAAAATGCATACAGCCTCTGACACAGCAAATGCAGGGCTCTGAATCTACCCAGGGGACTTTCCTAGGAAAATGAGGAGAAGTATAACAAGGGTATTTATTGAGACTTATTTGAAACAGAGAACAAAACTCAAAAGCAACCTAAATTTCCACCAATAAGAAAATGGCTAAACTGGCATATCGATGTTCTAGAATTCTGTGCACCACAACAGTATGAGCTAAATCCAGACGTACTGACATGCAAAGGTGTTATATAACAATGCCATGGGCTAAATTATGTTCTTCCTACTCCCTGCTAGATTCTTATGTTGAAGTCCTAAACCTCAGTCCCTTAGATTATAACTATTTTGGAGGTAGCAGCTTTAAAGAGGTGATTAAGTTAAAATGAAGTCAGTAGGGTGTGTCCTAATCCAATATGACTGATGTCCTTCTAAGAAGAATAGATGAAGACACAGATGTGCACAGAAAGAAAACCACATGAAGACACTGAAGAATACAGCCCTCTGCAAGCCAAGGAGAGAGACCTCAGAGAGATAAACCCTGCAGACACCTTCACCTTGCACTTGTAACTTCTAGAACTGCGAGAAGATAAATTTCGGCTGTTTAAGCCACCCTCTCTGTGGCACTTTATTATGACAGTTCTAGCACACTAATCCTCATTATTAGATATTTATTTGTAGGGATGTGCACAGATAATGTAATGTATGAGAAACAGAAAGGAAGGGCCCACCCCAGCCTGATAATCATCTTAAGGGAGAAATTGGAATTTAGTTTTGGAATTGCATTTTAGTTTTCACAATGAGAGGGTACTCATATTTTTTCATATAAATTTAAAAATCAATCTTCAGGCTGGGGGTATAGCTCAGGAGCAGAGCACTTACTTAGCATGCATTAGTCCCTGGGTTCTACTTCCTGCTATACGAAGGAAAAAAGAAGGAAAAAAAGAAGAAGCAGAAACCCTCTTCCTTAGCACTGTCCCGAATGGAACACACTTCACCACCTGGAGCCAAATCCTTTTGGACCTCTCCTCCATGTCCCGATCCATCCCAACTCTCCCACACCTGTTTGCCACACAAGATCATCTGACCTTCCATGCTTCTGTCTGCCCCTCTGCTTGGCTTGCCAGTTCCCTTTATTATACCAGCATTGCCAATCTTCAGAGTCCAACTCAACTGCCAAACACTTTATAAATGTGTTCCAAATATTCTTACTTGGAAGATTTTCTAGAGGCGCACCTCTCTGTTCTTTGGGAATTTATTCATGTTTATGCCCCTGGTCCCTAATCCATGCTGAAGCCTCGTAAATACTTGTTTGGTTTCAACTGAATAAATGATAGGAACATTTACTAGCAGGTTGCTTTGCCATCTCAGAGGCCCACCATTTCATCTGTGTGTATTAACAAACTCCCGAGAGAGGCCAGGGCTGTCATCGGGACATGAGCAAGGTCCTAGCCTTGAACTGTTCCTTTAATACAATGGGGACAACTGTATTTCTGGACCAGTCAAGCCCCATTTGCTTTCAATTCCAGTAAACTCAGCCAAGAATGTATTGCAATTTATTTTATTCAATCCCATGCCCATGAAGTCTTCCATTACTCAATCCACAATAGGACTCAATCAAAAACCCCACTGACCTCTGACTGCAAATCTTCGACAACATGGGCCTTACCTTTTCATGGGTTTGGGCGAGCATTCTCTCTCGAGGTTGGAGGACGTGTGTTTGACATGCATGGCATTATAGGAAGTGTGAGTATAGTCATTTTCATCGCTGTAGTCAGGACCGAGTAATGTCCGAGCCCAAGTTCCCATGTCATAAGGAGGCAGGGTTCCTCCAAATTCAGAGGGCAAAAACTCTGGATGGATTAGCTGGTGAAGGCTATTTAAATTGTTTCCATGCAGGAAAATCTGAAAAGAAAAAAAAATTGCCAATAAAAAATCTGAAATATGACCAAGTATTTACTCTAATGCACAATTTAGCAGTGACAAATTGGATGCACTGTTGGCGATGATGGTGTTTAAAGAGGCATGCATTTTAGCGCTGTAGCTTAGTCATCATGAGATGTTAATTTATGGCTCAGAAAAGGGGCTGAATTAATAGTCACAAAAATGAAGTTTATGAACAGATTGGGTATTATTTGTCCATGGCTCACATTTTCACATACAGGAGACTGATATAGACCATCCCAAACCCTGTCCATGCCTCACATGCATCCCCAGACTGCTCTGTTCTCCTAGCTGGGCCCTCTGGCCCTCAGTGTCTCCCCTGGTCCTGCCCATCCTTCTCAGCCTCTTTCTAATTCGGCCCATCCTGGTTCTCCTGCCTGTCCTCCAATGAGGTCTTCAATCTCTCTCTCTCTCTCTCTCTCTCTCTCTCTCTCTCTATATATATATATATATATATATATATATATATATAGCCAATGTGTTCGTCTAAATCTTGCTTCTTGGGGAGAGAATACCTGAGTAAAAAGATATGTTATTTTACTTCTTTACCATGCTCTTACCTCCTAGGGTGTGGTTAGAACAGAAGGTAGAAGCTCAATCCATATTTAGTCAATGGAATTAAAAACTGTGGCCTGAGAAAATATTGTGAGATTTTTTTTTTTTTTTTGCAGATATTTTCTGTTTGGTTTATATTGGGGCCTCATACCTAAACAATTCTGCATCTTCTGAACAAACAATGTTAGAAAATCATCAAACGGGAAAAAATAAAATGGCCCCAAATCATAAGTTTTTTTCAGACAAATCCATAAAATGCATGATCCACAAGCACATAATTAACATTGACAACAATTTAGAAATTGATTCTAAAAGGTGATTTAAAGTGCATCTGTGATGGCATTGGCAGGCATGAAATAATTATGTGCAACATGTTGAGCTACAAATAATTAATTATATGTAATAAATAAGTCACGTATAAATATAAAGCCACCAACATATACACATACACACACACAAATAAACACACATACCACAATTAGCTATGATAAAATTTAAATGTGATTTTAAAACTACTTAAATTCAGGACCTCAGTAATAAGTATTTGCTACTGTATTCATTTTAATTTATTATGTAATGGCATCATTTAAAAATAAGGGAGAAAAGAAGCCAAGTGCTAAATTCTTCAAAATACTGTAGTACTTCAAAAAATAATGTACATTTTCTGACTCTGCAGTTGGGGATTAATGAATTTTAAGATTTATTTCTTTTGATGTAATTTAATTATTCTGGTTTTTAAAAAGCTCCTTAGATAGTGCCATAGTATTTGAAGGATACTAAACTTAAATACTGTCCCTGGCACTTGAAGTCAACATTTGTACACACACACTCAATACATCCAGTTTTTTTTTAAAGAGAAGTGCTGTTGAACATGGCTCTCCCATCTGAGAGTCCTGTGGGATAGAGAAACACACAGGCATAGGCTGGGCCCTGACCTAACACACTGTATCTTGTGCCCAAAGCTCCAGAAAGTTCCTTCACTGGCAGAGCAGCAAGTGTCTATCATGGGAGGAGAAATTCCCACTGGCTTCATCCAGGGTTGAAGAGGAAGACACCAGGGAGCCTGAAGCCATACTGGAAACAACAGCACAGGACTCTTGCTTTCTTAGCCCTCTCCAGAACCCCAGACAGACTGCAAACTATCTCAGAATGTCGCCTCCTGATTTTGGTGAGTTCTGGTTCCCAGTGCCATATTTGTCTGAAGACAGGAAATTATCCTTCCTGTATTCTACTGCCATGTTCCCCAAGGACTTAAAAGTATCCACAGTCTGGGGGAATTAGGAGCCCTGTGGTGTGTAAGAGAGGAACCTCACATCAGTCCTTCCTGAAGCTCTCCCCAGTTGCTGTGTCTCCTGGGCATAGGGGTATAGAGAAGTGTTGTAAGAATGACCCTGGCCAAACTCCCTTGGGGAGTGGAGCTTCTGACCAGGAGGCAGCTGAAATCAGAAAGTCTAATGAAAGGAAACACTGCAGCCTTATTCACAATAACCAAGATATGGAAACCCCAAGTGTCTGCAAACAAATGAGCAAAGAAAATATGGTATATACTTTCACACATTCTCTCTCTGTGTCCCTGTCTCTGCTTCTCTCTCTCTCTCCCTCTCTCTCTCCCCCCCCCACACACACACACAGAGAGAGAGAGAGAGAGAGAGAGAGAGAGAGAATGGAATATATTATTTGGCCTTTAAAAAGATGTTCCTGCCACTTTTGATAACAGATGAACCTCGAGTATGTTATGTTGAGTGAATTAAGCCAGGTGCTGAAAGATAAATATTGCATGATCTCACTTATTCGTAAAATCTGAAAACAAATGAGCTCACAGAAGCAGAGAGTGGAAAAGTGGTTGCCAGGGTCTGGGGGTAGAGGAGGAAAGACGATGGTGAACGGCTACAGAGGTTCAATTAAACAGATGGATAAATTGTGGGGATCTACTATACAATGCAGTATCTACAGTTAATAACACTGCACTGTGTACTTGAAATTGGCTAATGGAGTTCCCCACACCAAAAAGGAAAATAAAATAAAAACATGATTATGTGGCCGTGCATGTGTTGATTAGTTCGATTGTGGTGGTCATTTTACGATGTGTATGTATGTTAATCTTCACACCACACACCTTCAATATATACAATTTTATTTTTAAAGCATCCCTCAGCAAAATTGGGGAGGGGGTAGGAAAAAAAGAACTAAATGGTAAAACGTTACTCAGTGTCTGCTACAGGAATGCATTATGGCACAAGGTCTCAGACACTGGCTCATTAAGTGACTCCCAACAACGCTGATGTAGGTGTTAGTTTCAGGTGTTAGTTTCCTCTCTTCATGAAAAAGGAAACTGATATTTAGAATAGTTAAAAAAAAAAAAATTCTCACTCAGCTAGAGTGCCACAAAATCCCAGCTCTAATGGGAGAGACCAACTCCCCAAATGTCACCTGATAATGAAGATTTTAAAAGCCTTCTTTCTAAAAGCATTCTTATTTCCTATGAAGAATGTTTTTCCAACCCTACAGATGATGCACAGGACAGTCACCTACCCACCCAAGAGCCGCAAGACAAAAACAGATTACAAATATTCTTCATAGTGATAATACATTTACAGGTTAAAAGGCTAACTATTAAAATATTCCTTAAACAGGAAGCGGCTGGACCCAGTATCTCCCATCTACGTTTATTGTTAAATGGGCATCTGGCATTTGCATGCCTTCAAAGTTTCCTTTGGTTTGTCACTGGGACTCCGAAAATAGCCCACTTCTACTGAATTATTGATTGTATCTAGGCCATTTGCAAACTCCAGCTGAGGCTCAAATGCTCAGGGGTTGCAGAAAAACCCTAGGTGGAAGATAAGCCCAGGGGAACACGATGGGGGAGGGGAGCACCGTAATTATCCTTGGTATTCCCAGGGAATTTGGCATTTCTGTGATACAGTTCGTTCTTATTACCCGTTTCCTGGTCTTGTCTTTAAGGAATGGCTTGATGAGCGTGTACAGGGCGTGAATGTACCAGGGCTGGTTGACAAAATGGACTCCTCCGAAGCGGGCAGGAAAGCTGTCCTGGGAAGGAAAAAGAAATGCAGGTCCATTAATAAGCACTCCAGGTTGGAAGGAATCAGTGGCCCTGCAACCCTGAAGACTATCGGGTTGAAGCTCTAGCTTCCTGGTGGAGAAAGGATGAGAACCCGCCAAGCTTCCCACCTGTTTCAGTTTCCTCTATTTTTCTGGCCTTCCTCCTCCCATTTTGATGCCACAACTTGAAAATGGGGTACAGATGCCAGCTCATCTTTTCCACGTTGCAATTATATGAACCCCTGCCTGGCACTGAGCGTGTGTGGCCTGAGTGCTGAGGGGAGTTGATTCTGCATTAGGCGATCAAGTCTTAGCTCCAGGGGCTCTAAGCAGGGGTCTTTCCTCTCTGCTCTCTTCCTCCCACTCTCTCCATATTAGCTAAATGTCCTGGTGATGGAGTGCCTGCTGTGTGGGTAGGGGCTGAAAAAGTATTCTAAGGATTTGGGGGAGATGAGGCTGTTTGAATTGACCGAAGTCTAACAAAACTCACTGTCAAAGTCTGCACAGGTGACAGTGCTATCTCCTTCCTCCATCCTGGGGTCATGGCAGGTCCCAAGGGAGAAGATACTTGTTGATTGAGGGGCTAGTTGATCCCCCTAACTGAGCCATGGGAACATTTTTTTTTTTTTGTAGAGCAACATATTTTATAAATATCAGATTAAAATAAGAGCAAAGTGGTTCCAAATTTGGAGTACAGAGCAGGGCATGAGTTTATGATTTAAAATCTGGGAAACTGCTCTCGGGGCTAATTAGATCCACAGGACAAAGGACCTTGACCATGAAGTCTGTATTAGTCCTGGGTGATCAGGTCTTCATGAAAGCTTTCAGCAGATTTGGTTTATCTTGGCTAATTGAATTTAAAAAGTAGGAACTCTAAATGTTATTTGAGTTGCGGAGTTTGCTGTCAATCAGTTTCAGTGCAACAAAATATCCCTGTAAAGTGTTACAAGGTAAGATGAAAGCAGAGGGAAATAACAGTTCAGGCAGGGAGCTGCTCCCTGTGGGTGTATGAAATGCCTTGCCTGGGTCTTTTTTAGTAACAAGGAAAGAGGGTCATTAACTTTTTTTTCAGAACTCTTTGAGTTCTACAGGATCCCTAGGCATCTTCCACACCAAGACCTAGTTTCTAACATGAGTACATGGAACTGTGCTTAAGGGTTGACATTTGAAAAATTTAAAAATAATTTTTGCCTCTATCTAGACATTTTACAATGTGGAAAAGAAATATTTCAAAGGCTAAATGAGACAATTTCAGTAAAAGGTCCTTGTTTTTCATGGTAATTTTGTTTTTGTTTCATCTATCATACTTTTAAAAACTTAATGAAACCATGAAATTACTAAGTTAGAGCGATCATTTACACTAATGTGTGTGCATTTGTCATAATCTCTTACTAATCCAAATCAAATTTAAGAAGTATAAAAATTCTTAGTAATGTTGTCTTCATTTATTTTAATGTACAATTCAGGATGTACATTAAAAAAAAAAAGTTTGATTCCTTAAAGAGAGAGGCCATTCCCAAAAGTTTGTTCTTTGCAATAAGTTCTATATGAGAGTCTCACTCTTTCTGGTTTCTTTCAAGGTCTTGAAATATAATGTTCAGAAATATAATCCATTATTTCACAAAATAAATGTGAGTTTTGAGGGCCTATAGAAGAATAAGAATAAAGCATTTATTTATAAATCCAAGGATTTACTATCTTTTTAAATAATACCGATAAGAGGTTTTTTATTTCTACTGATAGGCTATTGTACTCTACATTTCTAGGTTATTAAAGTTGAAGAAAAGTCTAAATAATACTCAAGAGACAGTAAGCAAAATCACTAAGAAACTATTATCCTTTAAAAAAATACCAAGAGACACTTAGTTTTAGTTTTTGAAACCTCAAAGATATCAAAAACCATTTTCTATTTGTGTCAGGGGAGACTGAAAAAAAAATTATAGGTCAGAGACTATGTAAGTTCTGGCTAGGTTGACCCTGGCCAAAGAAAGAAGTTTTGGGCTCTTACTGCCCTCATTCAAGTCAGTTGGTAAATATGTGCTGATAGACATGTGTAAACCTGTGCCTTTAGTTCTGGGCTTGGGCAAGAGTAAAAAATAGGATTATTTTTCTTCAGGATCCTCTATAAAAATTAAATAAAAGGTCCTCCTGTCTAATAGGGCAATATACAAATATTCTGGGTATTCCTGAATGGGCCTGGCAATATTATTAATAATAATTACATATGTGTTTTATTGTGTGTGTGTGTGTGTGTGTGTGTGTGTGTGTTGTAGGGAAGAGAAGGGAAAGTTAGCAAGCATAACCCTTTTATGGTCAATGCCCACAATTGTTGGTTGTCTTTACCTGGTCACATTATCAAACTGCAGATAAAGTGGAAGTTATCAGTCACAAAAGTTATCCAAGTACCATCAAACCCAAGCCCACCACCTTCTTGGAGGAGTATTTGTTAGTGAGGAGCAGACTCTGTCAAGATAGGCTTTGATTCAATGACAGGACAGCACTGTTTTTTAGAGTTCTTGGAGACTAAAAATATGCACCTAAACATACCCTAAGTTCAAGAAAATTATAAAAATTCTGTACTTTTTATACATTTAGCAATAACAATATGACATTGTTCCAAATTATAAACATGTTCAATTCATAAAATGTATCTACATCTCCAGTTTATTTTAAATTAATTTTGCTTCCTTACTATGAAAGTGATACACATTCTAGAAAAGTCAAAAACAGATAAAAACTATTACTAAAGAAATTAGAAAGTGAAGACATCAGGAAGAAAAAAATCACTATAATCTCACTGTTGAAGACACACTCTTTTGTGTGTGTGGTACTGACAATAGAACCCAGGGGTACTTTATTATGGAACTACATGCCCAGCCTTTTAAAAAATTTTTTATTTTGAGGCAGGATCCCATTGAGATGCTGAGACTGGCCTTGAAGTTGTGATTCTCTTGCCTCAGCCTCCCAAGTCAATGGAATGATAGGCGCACTTACTATTTTCTATCATTCAGAATAGGCTATATAATACTTTTTTTTTTAAAGAGAGAGGGAGAGAGATAGGTAGAGAGAGAGAATATTAATATTTATTTTTTAGTTCTCAGCAGACACAACATCTTTGTATGTGGTGCTGAGGATCGAACCCGGGCCGCACGCATGCCAAGCGAGCGCGCTACCGCTTGAGCCACATCCCCAGCCCCTATAATACTTTCTTAATAAACAACCCCTGCTTTACTGTTGTTTAAAACTATGAAGATTGATTTCTGTCTCACATTAAATGTTCTGTCCTGCTTGAGTTGCCCTCAGCCAGGGATGCAGTCTCCCCCAGCCAGAGCAGTGCTTCTAGACACTGCTCAAGGAAACTGCATAGAAAGGTCAGACTTTAGCTCTTAAAGTAGAACCTCAGAATGATATTCTTCCCAGTGACATGTCACATTTCATAGGCCAAACACATGCCTGACTTTCAGGGAGTCAGGAAATGGAAATATCATGTGCCCAGTAAAAGGAGATCCAAAAATTTGGATGAATCACACTAAAAAACAACCTAGACTCTTCTGAACCTTCTTTTTTCCCCTTTCTAGATGGAGCCATATTTTTTAGCACTTGGAATTAATAACTAATTGATTGACAGCCTAAAATATGCCTGATTTGATGCTATTGATAGAGTACCGTTATTTTTTGAATATGGTGTATCCTCTCCAAAACTCATGTTGAAACTTAATCCCCATTGTGAGGTATCAAGAGGGTGGAAACTTAATCCAACTCTGGTGTTTAGAGATGGAACCCTAGGGCAATAAGTAGGATTAGATAAATTTTGGGTGGCGTACCCTTGATTGAATACTGGTTCTTTTATAAGAATAGAGAGACCAGAGGATATACACACATACTTGCCCCGTCTGTTGGCTTGTACAACTTAGTGTCTCTACCATCAAGAAAAGCCATCCATCATCAGATGTGACCCCTTAACCTTGGACCAAAACCATGAGCCAAAATAAACTTCCTTTTTTGACAGCCTATCCAGTCTGTGGTATTGTGTTATAGCAACAGTTCTCACTATGAGAACTGGAATAACATAAGTATGTATTTGACAGAGTACTGGGTAAAACAGAACTTTACGATTTTATAATGCTTTATTTAAGGTCTTTAATTCTACCCTAGAGAATTAGTTCACACTTAGCACTTCTTCAATTCAGCACATATTTATGAGTGTCTGTTACATGTTGTTTTAAGTTAGCTTTTTTGCTGCTATGACTAAAGGATCTGACCAGTACAACTGTAAGGAGGAAAAGTTTATTTGAAGGCTCACAGTTCAGAGGTCTTAGTTCATAGAAGGCTGGCTCCATTCCTAGGGTCTTGAGGTGAGGCTGAACATCACAGCGGGAGAGTATGGCAGAGGGAAACAACTCACATCAGGAAGCAAAGAGAGAGAGAAACTCCACTCTCCAGATACAAATGTATACCCAAAGCCACGCCCCAATTCCCAACTTCTCCAGCCACACCCTTCCACTTCAGTTACTATACAGTTAATCCCTATCAGGAGATTAAATCATTGATTGGGGTAAGACATTTACAACCCAATTATTTCTCCTCTGAACCTTCTTGCATTGTCTCACACTTGAGCTTTTGGGGAACACCTCACATCCAAACCATAACACATGTCAAACACTGGGTTATATTGTCTAAACTATACTTGCCAGAAACTGCCACTTACCAGGGCCCCCCAAGATTTTAATCCCATTTTTTGTCTTCTCTAACCTGACTGTTACCCATACCCTACACTGCTGAGGTCAGTAGATTTTCCTTTTATGGTGATATCAAGGTAAAGTTGATTGGTGATATCAAGGTACAATATTTTGAGGAACCCATTAAATATTAGATAAGGAAGAGTTATGCTTAATACCTTACTCTGATTCATAATTCTGTGCAATTCAGTCTCAAAGTCCACATTACAAGAAGGGTTGTGAGATGCTTACTCCCCAGTGGTGTAGACC